TACACAGACATTGATACAATCACAAGACAGACAAAAGACATTCATGACTTTCCACAGGGATATTGCACAGCCAGATTGCCATTATCTGGAGAGAGAGCACTGGAGATTGATAACTTTAAGGTTTGAGTAAATATGCAAGGCAGAAAATACAAAAATACATAACATATCTTTACCTCACTTCATACTCCTGAAACACTTAAAAATCTGCCCTTGAGTTCTGTAAGAATAAAACATATATGTATAGCAGAGTTAATTTAGTATGGGCAAATTTTAGCAAGGAACTGTTTATGTGCTTGCATCAAGTTGGCTGCATTAGGGTTTGAAGAAATTACGAATGGAATGAAACTCCACCATGTCCCAGAACAGAGAAGTGAGAAGTCACCCTGTTTATTGCACTACTTTACTGTCACGTGTAAATGTGTGCATTGCTCTTTGGGTATTTGCTGCCAAAAATGAAATTACTTTTAAAGAGAAGAGAAAGTCTAAAGAACACTCCCTTCACTGATTTAACACAAAGGTTTTGTGTCGTTTACAAATGAGGTATAAAGGCTGGGAACATATATTCCTTGCACTAGCCCTGCTGATCATCAAACAAAACTGAGATTGCTTTTAGACATCAAAGCCTGTAGGTTTAAATCTTGCTCACCTAACTTACTTAAGTGATCTAACTCAACCAAACCCACCACTGGAGGTGTTCTAGTAAAATAAATGGAACAACTGGCAATTTTTGCTTGCTTACTTCCACTAACAACTCAAGTAGGGAAGACATGAAATTGTAGCCTCTGCTGTTCCAGTTGTGAATCCCCTCTCTACACTGAATGAGAGATAGTTTCTCACTGCTTCACAGCCTTTCAGTACAAGGGCTTATACAGTCTGGTCTGGTCTCTGCCATGGCCTTAATCTTACTTCCACAGAGCATTATGAGTGTAAGATCATTTTTCATATAATAATCTGCTTCCAGCAACATCTCTAGGTTTAATAGCCCCTGTCCCTATGAGTATTTTTTTTTTAACTTAATGCTTTCTGAATTCATTCAGAGTTCTGTTACAAGAAAAAAATGAAGCAATACATGTTTCAGGCTGCAGAACGAGAATAAGAATGAGCAAACTATAGAGAGGAAGAGGCAATGAAGGACTGAATGACATGCAGAGGAAAAAATTAACATGGCAGAGGTTTCCTGTGAAGCATTCTTCTATCTAGGCTACAGTGTCAGGTCAGTTTTCCATTATTTTTCTACTCCACAGATTGCTCCCATATTACCATATACTTGGTAGAACTAATTCTTCAGCTGATTGGGCCCATTTTGAAAAAGGCTAACAATTTCTATTAAATTTGTAGAAAAATGTCAATAGTGCCAATGTAACAACCAGGCAGATTAAGTACTTTTATACAGGATAGTCTTGCTTTGCCTGGCTTGAAACATCTGACTCATGTCATGGTTCATCGTTTATCTAGTGTATCCTGAAGCATCTGAGGATGCTGCTTGAGCTGTAATTCCAAGTCCAAAGATAGCACTTTTTAAAGGACTTGCATATTCTACCAGCATTTCTCTTTGGTAGAAATATATTGCCTCAGTGCTTGAATAACCTATATTATTTCACTTTGTACCCCTTCAGACCTAAGATAAAAGGTGTAAAATAGTTGTAACCAACTATAGTGGGGAATACAGCACTCAATACATACTCTTTCCTCTTTTTATAATGATAATGATCAATGAAATTACAGCCAAAAATCAAGAAAATAGGCTGTTGCAACTGTTTTGGAAAATATGCTTCCTGAAAGCTGGGTTAGTGGCTTTTGCAGAATAATTCCAATCAAAGAGTTCTTTATTTGTGTTTACAATTAAATACACACACTTTCACTTCCATGCCAATAACCTAATCTATGACTGCAACATGCTGAGACTTTAGCAAAGTCTTTTTGCATATATTATGCAAAGACCCAGGATTATTTTGGTGTAGTGACACAAAGGACTAGTTAATACCTTCAGCCAAATTTAACACTATTTCCTTTTTGGAAATATTTACAATGAAAAGGGAGACATGCTGTAAGTGTAGTTGTGATGAATGTGGTTCCTGTTGTTCTGTGATATATAATTTAACACAGAGAATATTTTGTGTTTCTGGGAAATCTCAACATAAGATTTAGAACATGTTCCTATGATTAAGAACAAATAGATCACATTGATATTTCAGATCTCCTAGTAAATTCACTTGACAGATGAAGAAAAAGACATGACTGTGGAGCACAACTATAATTGCAACTAAGCACACATGCTTTAAGATCCTCAAAACCTGGATGATCAGGAACAGATCTATTTCCAGGAATGTTATATACTGAAGCAAATCCAGCAGCACAGTATTATGACAGTCCCTGCCTTGGCCCTCCCCTCTTCCTCAGTGTCACTACAGTGGAAATACTAAATCAGATGACTAGAGGATATAAGAAATTATTTGCAAACCTGTGGCTCTGCCTAATTTGTAAATATTATGTTATAAACCCAAGAAAGTAAGTTTAACTTTCATGATAAGAGCATTTGAAACATACATTATTTTTAATAGCTTCCTGACATCTGTTTAGTAATAATTTGTTCCATCAAGAGATCTTTGTAGTATTGGAGCAAAGTGTTCATGTGTAAAACTCGTCTGAGGAATCTTCATCTTCTTAAATCGAACAATCATTTGAGTTCAAATTCCAAAACAGTTTCTTAATTCTTTCTTAATCTGTTTTCAGTTAAACATCATAGAAGGTTTCTTCAATGTTTCCCAGGAAACTGCACTGCACCCTGGCCAAAGTGACCCAGTATAAACAAAGAATTTGCTCAAAACAGTTCACATGAATTCCGAGTTTGGCTTGTCTTGGGTAACTTCATATTGTCTTTAATCTAGCATCCAGTTATAAGTAATTTATTGGTTCTGACAACACTTGCACTTCAGAAACAAAGACAACCCTTCTTGATTTCAGGTCTACATGATCATAATGTTCTCTTCACAGAGAAAGTTTAATTTTGAGGATGTCCAGAAAAAGTATTAATTTAATTTTCCTAAGCTTTTCACTAATTCTGCCATTCTGTGAAACAGCTAATGCAAAATCTGTTGACTATAAGGAGATTCTGTGAGACCATTGATATCTGTCTGATGTATTTTCAGTAAAAATATATAGACTCTCCTTGTTTTGTTTCAGGGGCCTCCTATATCATAGTCAACAAAAGATGAAAACAAAGTAGAGAAAACTATCTTGATTTTTTTATTTAGTTAAGATCAAGTGTCCACATGCTTGGAGACTTTGAAAATAGATTTTACTTCCCTTGGGCCATCATATTGAATCACATTAAAGGTCCAGAAGGGACCTCAAGAAATCTTCTGGTCATTTACTTCTCCAGGGCCTTCATTCTTAGTTGCTTTTCTATAAATATCTTCATGCACATTCATTCCCCTTAAGTCATGTCTTACGTCTTATTCAATTCTTCCTGTATGTATAGCTTGCAGGCTATCTGTCAAAACCCTCTTTAATTCAGCAGTAAGGTATGTTTGTAGCAAATGTACACATACCTACAGAATAGACAGGTATAGATTTAAAGAGTGAGGAAGGGGGAATGGTTATGCCTGCAGGATTATGTGCCGATGAGAGATTTATGGTGACTTATTTGCAGCTAGTAGTACTTTTAGAAGGGTATGGATTATTGTAAGAATAGGATTAAACACATTAAAAGCCGGTATTTACTGGCACCTCAGTGAGCAGTGAGCAGTGGTAAGCAATTATGGCAGAGGAGCAGCACAGACAGAATAGCTCAGTAGTATTTCCTACATAACCCACCAAAAAATGGAAACCTTTGAGAGAGATTGATATCTCAGCAGGCTAAATATATTAGGTCCTCATTGCTTAATACGAGATATTTTTCACAGATCATACCTTCAATTTTAATGACCATTCCAAACTCTTAATACTTCTGCTCAGGGCCTCCAGCCTTAACCTGTTTGGGGCAGCTGGTTAATTTAATATATATGCTTTCTATTCCATCATCGTAGATGTTAATGAAAATTTTGAATACTGCTGAATATTGGAAATATTGCATTAGGATCACACTTGAAAAAGCTCCATAACCATTCATAACTATTGCTTCAGGGGCTTCTCTGTGAGGGTGGTGAGGCACTGGAACAGGTTGCCCCATCCCTGGGAGTGTTCAAGGCCAGGCTGGATGGGGCTTTGTGCAATGTATTGGTCTGGTGGGAGGTGTCCCTGCCCATGGCAGAGGGGTTGGAACTGGATGATCTTTAAGGTCCCTTCTGACCCAGACCATTCTATGATTCTATGATTCTTATTTATTTTTGCACATACTTTTAGAGGTTTTTATTCTCTCCTGAACAGCCTCATTTTGACAAACGAGATAAACCACTGATGCCATGATCCTAACAATAACTTAAAGAAAACCCATCCATTTCCATCAAAACTTGCAATATCTGGTTGAAGAAGTTATAGTATTGATTTTATTAATATTCTGTTCATGGACAATGTTTTGGATCAGTAAACCTTGTGAAAGATGTTGTTCAGAAAGAGGTCAATAGTAGAACATGATGTATAGAGTCACCAGTGTAAGAAAAACTCCACCTATGGATTAAGTAGGCTAACAGGCAGAGAGAAGGGTAAATGAAGCTGTAGGAAGTTTTTGCAGATGACCACTGCTGAATGGAGCGTTCAGGTACAGGTTATTTTATAATTCTAGCAGTTGCCAAAGTAATACGAAAATTACCAGAATTAATATCTACTATTGTAAGTGTTCTTTTGTCACATTCAGAAAGAAAATATGTCAAATAGTTCCATTCTAGTCTTGCTTCTCAATATAAGATAATTTGGAAATTCTAAGCTAAAACTTCGCCTTTTATGAACATAAAAGAATGGGTGAGATTAGGACTAGATACCATCAAAAGTACTTACGCAAAACCAGATTCCTACTTGCATTTATAGCATTGATTTCCATGAAGTTGAGGAATGTGTTTTACCTTTGCAGAGGATAGGCTGATCACATGTTGATCTTTTTCATTTGTCACGATTTCCACAACGCTATGTAGGTGCCCTGATAGTTTCCCAGAAGGCTTACTATTAACAGCAGGATGCCACAAACGAAGAAATTTGTCATTACCTGAAAGGAAAAAAAAAAAGGCTGAATAGTCACTGGTATTACAAATAAGCTTTGTAATGGAGAACTTTGTGGGTTTGTCTCTTGCTTTCATCACATCGGCAATTCCCACATAACGATGTGAATACTTCATTCTAAGGGCTGGATTCCAGCTTATGTTTTCATTGCTTTTCCCCAAACTTGTATGAAAAACACATAACTGATATGTGTTTCAAAGCTTTTTTATTTTGTCAGAGGAGTGTCATGGACATGGGATATGACTACATGTGCTAGTCCCATAGAAGCAGAATACTTTTTATTAGAGATAGAACTGTGACTCAGAACTTTTCCCTTCAAAGGTCTAATTTAGAAAAAACATCAAAACAATTTTTACGTCTTCTTAGCCAGGAAAGGAAGGGATGACCATCTCTGTGGAAGAGGGTGGGCATGCAGAACAGGATGAGGAGCAGGCATAAAAGTTGAGGATCAATAGAAAACAATAGCTGCAGATGAGTGATTTTGTGTGTTGAAGCAGATAACAATTAGGTCTTTCATATTTATTTGTATGTTCAAGCATTACATTTACCTACAACTTAAAGAATAATCCTTGATTTCACTATAGATGAATCTTTCACTGCTATTTCATAGCAGCCTTCCAGTATCTGAAGGGGGCCTACAAGGATGCTGGGAAGGGACTCTTCATTAGGGACTCTAGTGGTAGGACAAGGGGTAATGGCTTCAAACTTAAATAGGGGAAGTTTAGATTAGATCTAAGGAAGAAGTTCTTTACAGTGACGGTAGTGAGGCACCGGAATGGGCTGCCCAAGTAAGTCGTGAATGCTCCATCCCTGGCAGTGTTCAAGGCCAGGTTGGACAGAGCTTTGGGTGACACAGTTTAGTGTGTAGTGTCCCTGCTCATGGCAGGGGGGTTGGAACTAGATGATCTGAAGGTCCTTTCCAACCCAAACCGTTCTATGATTCCATGACTTTTGTAATAGTTTCCATAAATATTTCAAAACACAAAGATGTATTAGTAAACTCCTGGGTTTACATACTGATCTACATACATTTTTCACAGGAGTTTCAAGAGAACATGAGCACAGTTTAGATTTGACATTGGTTAATTTATATTTTAATTTCAAATCAAATATTGCAATTGAATGAATTGTATGCAATTAGCTGAACACTTTATTTTGGCACACAATAAATGAAATGGCCATATTTTATCTACACTTCAGTTTGAGTTTTAGTTTTTTCTTGGCTTGAAGTGCAGAATACCAAAACCACATAGACTAGGAAGTCCATGGTCACTGACACTGAGCTCAGTTTTGTTAAGAGAGCTCTATCCAGGGATCCTCCTTAAGCTTGTTCAATCTACTGCCATTGGTCAGTCCCTCCCTCTATCTCTTACTCCAGAAATCTGTCCCTTTCCTTCTTAATACAGCAATATTCAATTACATTAGGAGGTCCCATCTCCCTTTTCCTCCATTAAAAACCATTTTCCTCTCAGTTAAATTGATTCCACTGTCTCTCATTTAGTTTCTCTCTAAATGAGAGAGGCCCACTGGAGAAATGATCTACTCTTAAAATAGCTACAACAGAAAGTAATTTTGGTTTATGCTGGCTCGTTTCACAAATGTGGCTGAGAATGCAACCATGCAAACAGCTGCACTGGCACAGTGGAGGGATAATTTCTGCATAGGAAAGGGGAGCCATGGATAAGTAGCTGACCAGCAGTAATTTCAGTGGGAACCAGTTTCTTTTTAGGGCAGCTTTCAGACAGAACTGTTCTACATTAGCTGTCTGTGCAGTAAGCATGTCAGAAAGCAACTTAAAAGGCTATAATTGCACTAGTGAAGTCCTTTTGGATGGGGAGCTACAGAATATGATGGGCCCCTGCTCACTTTCTCAGATGTTGTGTTAGGCTGTCATAGACGTGTCCTACAAGTTAGCAGAACCCTTGTGATCCAGCCAGTACTCATTACTGAGAAACAAGGCCATGGTAGTAAAACTCAGCTTGCAAACCTTCTATGGGGTCAACAGAAGGACACAAAAAATGGCAGACAGAAGCCTCCAGTGAGACTGATGAGATCAGTCATAATGTCAGAGGGAACAAACACTGCTTCAAACAACATGCCCTTTAGCAGCCCCAAATGGAAACTGTCACGTCTTAAAATTATGATGAACTAGGTAGGAGCTGTTGACAGTATCTGACCAATTCAACTACTTGATGCACTTTGAGGAACAGGATCTAAGTCTTCCTAATTGCTCTGTTCTTTATATTCCTGAGGTGATGGCAGATGAATGAATGGGGGATACTGCCCTTTAACTGAGACACAGAGATACTTTTTTTAAGAATAGAATCACTAATGCATGTTATTTACTTATGCTAATAGCAATAACAAGCAACACTAGGAGAGAAAACATTTTCCTACATTAAAAATACTGCTTGCTCCTCATGTGAAATATTGGACCAGTTTTAGTTCCTTTTACTGATGTGGATTTGGTTTTAGTAGATGTGTTCTCTCCCCTTTTTCTGGACTAATGCCAGATTGGCCAGAACATTTGCTACTTCGCTGCTTCACTGGAACATTTGCTAGAACATTTATTCCCTCTGTGCTTCAGATATGCTTCCAGGATTCAGAATCCTGACACAGAAGACACGGGTACTAACCGCATTCAAGAAAAGCGTGAAGAAGATGAATTACCTTTCTACATATCTGCTAGAACGTATTTAATATTCTGTGAAATCTATGATTTGAATCAGTGTTCTCTCATCTCAGCTAAATGATTATGAAAATATATAGGGTCTTTTGTTGGTGGTTTTTTTTTGTTGTTGTTTGTTTATTTTAAGGTTTTACTTGTTTTTTTGTACATATGTTTGATTTTGGGTTTTTTTTGTTTTTTTGGGTTTTTTTTTAAGTTAGATTTTCTGACTACAGCTCTATTCTAACTGGATGTTATGGATTCCAACACCTTCTTTGAACATGTGATGCTTTGTCAAATCATTTTCCTGCTAAGTTGTCTGCATTTCAGTGGTGTTGAAACCTCCTCGAGAGCAGTAGCATTTTTGAACGGAAAATGCTAGGCTCAGCTTAGCATCCTCTGATAAAGTAAAAATGAAAAATACAACCCTTGTTTTCCTTCTATGCTGCTTCACTCCCACAGACAGACCCCTTATTCTTTAAAACAGCTTGTCATTCCTTCAAGCCTGCCTTTCAAATAATCTAAGGTTTTAATACCTGGAAAAACATCTTCAGAACAGTTAGGTATCTGGTAAATGAACACAAGTTCATAGGTTTATCATATTGACCAATGTCTCTTTCTGTATTCATACATTCTTAAACTTAGAATACATCATAGAAAAGAGTCTGCTATGCTTCTGAGGGCTAATATTAATCCTGGGATGTGATTTCTGTAACTAGGATTCCTGAGGAGTTCGTGAAAATGATGATGCCAATGTATAGTGCCAGTAAAAAAAAAAGATATGTTACCAGTTACTTCATTTGTGCCAGGAATACACAAAGGATACTAAGCAAGTAAAGGGGACTTCCTTTTATCAGTCTGAAGCTGCTACTGCTATATTTAGAAATCACTAATTGTATTTCTTCTACTTTATTGCTCACAGGAGAATCGTATCTGGACTTGCAGAACTAATAGTGTTAGAAGTTACTGTATCATATCATTTAAAACTGATGTTTTATATGTACACGTAATTTGATTTTAGCCGTAGCTGTTCCCTGAGCTGATAAGACATGGTTGGAATTGAAATGGACATGGAAAAGAAGAAAACCATATCACTTTGCCATTCAACATAATGCAAAATACTGCACAGAAAAGTTATTCTAAATTACTGTGGGCTGCGTATTTTAGACCACTATCAGGCTTTTATCATTTTACTGGTGGAAGTCTAGCTTCTAGCATAAAAAGCGAACACTGTACCAAATTTGCTTTTGTCTTTCTTATTCATTATTATAAATGTCAAATATCAGGAAGACAAAATTAGACTGTGTCAAGAACTGGCAAACTCATGAACACAACCACATACCTCTAAATAAATGATGAAAGAGTAAGGGTGTTAAAACATGACTTCTGCAATGGTCACTTCACATTGCAATAATACATTGTAGTATTTTGAGTACTATTTTACTATTTTGAATAGTATTATACTATTGTAGTATTTGAGTACCTGGCTAAATAAAACGAGTTTGGGTCTTAGTAAAGTAGTTAGTCGACTTATCCCCACTGAATACTTAAGAAGCTAGCCTACCATCAAAGGCTGGATTTTTCTTTTTTTTTTAATTGCTGAATGTGACATAGAAGTGTAAATTCTGCAACTGTTTGCATATGTCACCAAGAAATTTATGTATTATGATACCTGAATTATTTACCTGCTCTGGTCGTTGATTATTTTTAACTGGATCATCAACACATGTTTCTCAGCTAGACAAGAGATACGGAGATACAGAAACATAGTGTGCTCTAGTCTGATAGACTGTTGTGCCATCATGAGCAGTGTATTTTGTTAATATAGCATTGAACTCTAGAGCTCAATTTTTGAAGACTTTAGTAGATGAATCTCTCAAGCACTGTAACATTACTCTTCATTCTGGGTGTGGCTTCATAGTAGCCCTTGGCTGATCTAAACTACACAGTGAAATGGAAAGATATAATCCCACCCTGCCTTTGTCTTTGGCCATGCATTCCCGCTGTCTCCTGTGACTCTTAGTAATTTAGCTCAGGAATAATTTCATTTTGTGCTTAAGGGAAGTAGCAGAGCTAAGCGCTGGGAATAATGGTGAGAGGCAGGAGAATGCCATTTAATATCAAGGTGAAGGTCAATGAATGAACAAGCAATACAGGATTCCAATGCAAGGGTATGTAAATGTTATGATCCAGAAACAGACTGAAATATTGTTACAAGTAAGTACAATTTTTATACTTTTTCAAAATCATCTTCACATAGTCCTTGAATACCACATTATTAGGCTTTTGCCATGTTCCCCATGCTTTCTGTACTTTTGTGCAGTGAAAGTCAAGACAAATTAAAATTCAAAGTTGAGAAAGTTCATCTCCTTCTACAATATTCTGATTAGGTAGCTGTTTAGATGGGATAGGAGGTCCTGCATTCCAAGTCTAGCCTCAAGCCTCTATCCTTTCAAAAATTTCAAGCTTCATTTTAAATGAGAAGGGTATTTCTTTCTGCAACTGCTACTATTCAGAAAACACTTCCCTGACATTTCTGCTCTAATTTGTGGTCTAATATTTATCCTCCTGATATTTTTAAAGATAGAACTGATATTCCTTGTTAATTGCCATTTTGCTAGGTTATAAAAAATACACTCTTCAGTCTCTGTGTGGTAGGTTTTCGCCAACCTTTTTCCACATTCAACTAATCAGATATTTCAACTAACATATGTACCTACAGCAAGTATTGCTGCATGATTGCCCTATTCCTATACTTTGCCATAAGTGTTTATTGCTGGTCACTGTCAATGAGGCAATAGTGGGTTAGGCTGAATTTTGGTCTGGCCTACCATAGCTAGTGTTATTTTCTTAGGAATTTTATGCAGATTTTTCTCTTTTCTGCTATTTGTGTAAGAATTTTCAGGGTGTGACTGAAGCTTTTATTAGTTCTTGTGTAACTAACTTGTACAATTCAGACGTTTTAAGCTGGTTTTATTACTACAGTAAAATCCTCCAGTTTTACCTGTAGGAAGTACTAACCACATTCTGTTTTATAGGGCTCTCCTACTTTATGTCATCAGTAAATTTCTCCAGACTACTTTCTGTGACAAGGTAATCAATGTAAATAAGATCTCCTCCAAGGCTGAACTTCAGAATTTTCACTAATGACTTTCCTATAGCCCTATTGCTTTCCCTTTAAATCTTGTGTATAGAAAATCAATAGAACTGTCTGGCATTTCTTTTGATATCAGTCACAGTTTTCTCTTTGGTAAACTGCTACAAATCATTTTGAATTGCATTATTTTCCATGTCTAAGTCTTCTACCCCCTCAAGTTTATATTACTGTCTTGCATATTATCAAGGCTGGACAGCAGAGCCTTGGCCATTTTCTTTTTAAATATAGATGTAACAATTGCTGCGCTGGCTATTTCAATATTTAAGAAAGTTTTAAGCAAGATTCTCATACTGAAGTCTTGGAGACAGTTAGCATCAATGTCAATCCAGGGCACCACCCTGTCAGACAGAATATACAAGTAAGACTGATGCCATATTTCAGTCATGTTTCTGCAGCACTGCAATAGAAAGGCTCATAAAATTATTGGATAACTGGGAAGAAATTGATGCAAGAGTGCTATTTCTGCAGTCTGCTTTGGGAGAAAGAACAAATAGTTAAGATTTGGGGAAACATGATCAGAGAGAAAAGCAATGGAAAGTACTAAGATGGGCCAATGTGATTGCTTAACATAGGAAAGGATGGCCAAAGAGTAATAGGAAGAGATGGAAGCCCTGCTGATAATGCAAGGAATAATGTGTATAACCTGGCCAAGAGTAGGTCAACATATTGTTTCTCCTGTTTTATGATATGAGAAGAGAAGGCTGCGTGGACACCTCATAGTAGACTTCAGATGTCTAAATGGGGCCTATAAGGATGCCAGAGAGGGACTCTTTATCAGGGACTGCAGCAACAGGACAAGGGGTAATGGGTTTAAACTTAAGCAAGGGAAGTTCAGGTTAGATATAAGAAAAAAGTTCTGTACCGTAAGGGTGGTGAGGCACTGGAATGGGTTGCCCAAAGAAGTGGTAAATGCTCCATCCCTGGCAGTGTTCAAGGCCAGGCTGGAAGGAGCCTTGGGTGACATGGTTTAGGGTGAGGCGTCCCTGCCCATGGCAGGGGGGGTTGGAACTAGATGATCTTAAGGTCCTTTCTAACCCAAACCATTCTTTGATTCTGTGATACTTGATTCCAGCCCAGACTGAGCCCTTGATAGATTCCTGTCAGGAAGCACATCTTTTCAGAGTAAAACTCCCAACAATTTAAAACAAGACCTCTATTTCCTATAATTTAAGACACTGTCTTCAGAATTATTTAAATTATTAAGATACTAACTCAGCTTTACTTGATCTTATTAAACGGGGGAAAAAAAATCACAACAGTACAATCTCTTGGGGAAAATACCCCACTACTTACCACCAGTGACAATGAGCTTTGCTTTTCTACAGTACGTGAAGGCATTGACTCCTTTAGGGACAGAAAATTCCTTTACAGGTCTGAAATCATTAATAAAGGAAAAAAATATTAATGATTACAGGTAAGAAACATTAGGAAAATACAGTCTACAGTCATTCCACCTTATTTTTCTATAGTACATGTGATAGCTGTTTACATAATGTACACAATCCCTTGTTAAAAGCAAATTGATTTATAACAGTGATTTATATAGCCTTACAGTGATACTGGCATCAATAAAATAGGAACAGGGTGAACTTTCCATTAAAGTAATAAATCTCTGATTTGAACATCTGAATCCTTTATCAGTCGTACTCCAAACAGGATACTAAAATGGTAGCTGTTGCCAAAGTAAGCCCTCACACACATCTCCATGCTTAAAGCAGTTCATCACTGAGGAAAGTATCAAACCAACTGCCTTTGCCCGTTTCATACATGAAGGTGTATTGTGGCCTCTATTTTGCATGAAGTGCAGTTACTTCTCTGATGCTTATGTATAATTGTATAATGCATAGCTTCTGTTTTATCTATTTTGTGCTGTATAATAACACTAAGAGAACACAGGTTTCTGGAACTCAGCTGAATTATTCTGTTATATTCCCTGATAAAGCACAGGAATTCAAACAGCCAACATGGACTGAGATTAACTCAGTGTCCCTTCCAAACCCATCCTTTGAGCGATGTCTGCTTGTCGCTTCATGTTGCATGCATTCCTACTACCAAGTGAATAATTTCTTGATCTTTGGACTGAGCAATAGCATGACTAACACCCATCTCTCCCAGGAAACAATGACTGTCAATGTAAATAAGCTGTACAGAATTAAATGGGCACACACTTAAGATTTTTCTTTGAAATCCAGACAAGTAGGTAGTTCATTATTCCAGGCTAAAGTGTAACCATAAATATTGAAAACGTACTGTGGATAACAGTAAATTTGACAAAAGACTCTGGAAACTTTGAAGATTAATGAAAGAGCTTTTTCTTTCTAGGCTTGTTCTTTCTAGGCAGTGAGTAAAAGGCTATTAACTCCCTATTACATTGAAGGAGCAAAGCTTTCTTTCCAGACCTCTAACAGAGGAGTCTCAATTCTCTTGATGGTGTAAAATAGCAACTAATTGATATAAATGTGTGACAGATTTCATCAGGATTTATTATCTTTTTCCCTTAACTCTTCAATTTAATACTTCTATATAATCCTCTATTGGCTCTTTAATGAACGGTTTTGATATTCTTCCAACATCAGTGTGAATAAGGGCTTCTGGAAGCGTGAAGTCCTGCCCAAGTCATGGCCTAGCAACAGAAGCACCCTGTGATCCCACCCACACCCCCTATTTTTTAGATACTTTACAAGAAAAGATTATAACTGCTCATCAGCCATTATCCACAGAGAAACCTAACAGTCACATAGGAGATAAGATAATTGCATTGCTCTTCAAACACAATAACAACTGCTTGCTGCAACATTAACTGGGGATATTTATTTTGTTGGCACCAGTAAGTCATATATTTCAACCATAATTATGTATGAAATGGGCATTTCAAAGTAATTTGATCTATGCTTATTTTTAGGGCTATTAATTTCATTTTAACAGCTGTGTAATTTTTCAGTTGTCTAAATATAATTTCATTGAGGTGCTGCATGAAACTGCTTAGAGAAAAGTATTTATTGCAGTTGGAGACAAAATTATCATCAATGTTAAATGGAAAAGACATACCAAGATATTTATAGTTAATGTTCTGTATTACAATGTATGGTGGTAGTATATACTCTTTTGACTATACTTTTGGCTCTGCAGTCTTTGTTTTCTTTCTCCTCAAATCAATTTCAAAACTCTTAACAAAATCAAATGGGATTTCTCAGCTTTTCTCCTTACACATTATATGACCTTGGACAGGCTGTGAGTATATTTCACTTCCCTATCCCCAACAGATATGCAATGCTCATAAAACCTAAAATTATTAGGTTTATGCAAGAATTACTATGTGAATATTTATGGCCTGTGTTACACAAGACATTAACCAGATTACCATAATTGTTGTTACTAGCCTTCAAAATCTATTAATCTCTGGATGTATTTTACAGAGGAATTGTGAAACTGATCTGATCATAGAATCATAGAATCATAGAATCATAGAATCATAGAATCATAGAATGGTTTGGGTTGGAAAGGACCTTCAGATCATCTAGTTCCAACCCCCCTGCCATAAGCAGGGACACTACACACTAAACTGTGTTGCCCAAGGCTCTGTCCAACCTGGACTTGAACACTGCCAGGGATGGAGCATTCACAACTTCCTTGGGCAACCCATTCCGGTGCCTCACCACCCTCACTGTGAAGAACTTCTTCCTTAGATCTAATCTAAACTTCCCCTGTTTAAGTTTGAAGCCATTACCCCTTGTCCTACCACTAGAGTCCCTAAGGAAGAGTCCCTCCCCAGCATCCTTGTAGGCCCCCTTCAGATATTGGAAGGCTGCTATGAGGTCTCCACGCAGCCTTCTCTTCTCCAGGCTGAACAGCCCCAACTTTCTCAGCCTGTCTTTATACGGGAGGTGCTCCAGCCCCCTTATCATCCTCGTGGCCCTCCTTGGACTTGCTCCAACAGCTCCATGTCCTTTTTATGTTGAGGACACCAGAACTGTACACAATACTCCAAGTGAGGTCTCACGAGAGCAGAGTAGAGGGTTAGGATCACCTCCTTTGACCTGCTGGACAATGCTTTGAGATATTTGAATGAACAGTTCTATCTGTAAGTTATTTAAAGTTCTTCTTTACATCCAATTGTCTTTGTATTATTTATTTTCTAATTGGGCTATAAACTATTCTAAAATCATAGACTAGTAAGGCTTGGAATCAGCTCTAGCACTGATGGGACATATGAATAAGTATATGGCACAAACAAGGAGGCCACAAACTCTTTCCTGTATAGTAAATCCATTTCACAGCCCTCAGAATAAAAAAAAAAGTTTTTTTGCTTGTGTTTTAAATTGTTTTAAGCTTGTGTAACTGAAATTGTGAAACTAAAACTGTAAATGAAATTTAGATATATTTTTGTGTGAATATAAATTTTTAATGAAAGAATACATGATATACATGTAACAAAGCAATAATTTTTCTAACTAAAATTAGCCTGCTGAGGAGAAGTTGGAGCAGACAACACTGCCAACACGACTTATTTTTAAGGGCTGTGAGTAATTAACATACATGGACACTTGTCTCCTACATCAAAAGTTAACAAACAAAAATGTTACACATTTAAGCAGTTGTATTTTTGTTTGTATTAACAATGCTTATAGAAAAGATAACTTCCATACAACAGGATGGCATCTTGCAAGGCACTGATCTCATGCAAAGTTATAAAGCAAAAGGTCTGTTTTTTCGGAAGATGTCATATACTTACAAGTTGTCCTCTAGTCGCTTTATGTCATCCAAAACAAATGAACAAATGCTGTCTGAGGAGCAGGATCCAAAACAATTTAGGTCAGAAATATACTGAACTTTCATAACCCAGTCATCATGTAGCTTGCGTTTAACACTAGGGATATAAATTGAGATGTTATTAGGATATACTAGCATCAACTGTAATATACCCATAGGGAGACAGGCATTTTTTCTGTGAGATTATACATAACCTATGCTAAAATTTAATATCCAGGGCAGATACAGAGCCAGTCTTCCAGCTCAAAAGCAAGCAGAGCTAAAGTTAGGATTGAATCATGCATTTCTCTATTTGCAATTATGCTTCCATCTACTAGGGCACAATAAAGCTGTGACTATGTCAAACTGAATAACAGCAATTGTAATTCTTCCATGGAAGCTGAAAGTTCTCTTGTTAGATCCCCTACTGATAACGATGGCAGTTTTTTCACACAGCAGTAAGAAAATCATACTTACTGGAGTCTGAAAAATTATTTTCTTTGGTAGATTGGGTAATTTACACACAAAAGCTAATCCTTCATTTACGCCAGAGAAAACCCAAATAGAAAACCAATTGCTAGACTGATAATATTTTATCATAAGCAACTTACATGTGAAAAGTTTTGGAGTCCAAGACCTGAAGCTGTGATTCTTTTTTGCTTTTACATTTTTTTAATGCCAAGTGATCGCTGGTCACAGTAAGCAGATAAACATAACCCTTATCATCTCCCATTAGGATAGTATCCTTAGCCACTTGCTTTGGCATAGTCACCGTGCAAACACAGAGCAGGCAATTTTCCATTGGCTTGATGACAAAGCAAATATTCTGTGAAATATGGTAGGTAGTTTATTAGATATTGCACACAAGCCCTTAAGTTGACTGAACATCATGCTTATCTACTTACATCACCATTCAGTTCTTGACTTTGTTTTTTCAAGCTCCCCCTGTGATAACTGTTTCGTGGTATTAGAAACTCACAGAAGACCATCACCAAGTGAAGTTAAATGCAAATTTCAAGGATTTCAATGGGGCTTTATTTTATAGGTTACCTTTTCCATTTCAGTGAGAAAATACTAATTACAAATTTTAGGGAGGATCTCACCATGCTAAGTGGAATGATGTATTTGCTAAGGCTTTATGGTTTCCTGTTCAAAAATAAGATACTGTCTAGAAGAAAATGGGAAATAGCCAAATTAAAGAATTATTCAAACCAGAAACCACAGAAGTAACACAGAGAAAGAAATTATATTTGAATCCTAATTATTAATACAGCCTGGGAGAACCAAGTGTACTTATGAGGGCAGGTGTTTTCAGTTTTCAGGAATTGAGATAGTGGGAATGAATACAGCTGCATGCCACTGTGGCATTTTGCTGGACTGAGAAAGTCTGGGAATGGGATTTTGGGTCATTTGCATTATGCTGTTCATTGGTTCTACTGTCTGACTCCATCTGTTGTTTGATTAAACCATCCTTGCCAACCTAAACCGGCAACTGTTCACATGCCATACAAATTAACTGCTTCAGTGTTGTCCATGTAACAGAAACATTAAAAAGAGACATAACAGATATAGAATTGTCTGAATGTTATTTCTGTGGTCTTGAAAGAGAACTATTCAGTCATAGTCAGGACACTTTCAACTCTTGCTGATGTAATGACTGGAGGAAAACTGGAGAATAATGAGTGGAGAATAAATTTTTGAGCCTTCCAGATTGGACTGACAGAAGAACTTCCATTCACCTGTCTGAACATGGGAAGCATCTTTTTAATATGGAGAACAACAACAAAAAAAATCCTAAGACTTGATCTTATTCTAAAAATATTTACTTTGCTTATCTTCCCAGACAACTCAGAACTGCTGAAAAAAGTCCAAGAAACAGGAGGAAAAAGCTAAGGTATGGATCAGAACTACTTACAAAAATTCTATTTTGTAATAAAGCATTCAAGAGAACTTTAATGGTTTGGACATACATTATCAATATCAAGATGGTTTTGCTTTTGGAAAGTCCTGAACAAAATGCAGGATATGAAAAAATATTTTCTTTAAATCAGGAAGTTACCTCAAAAGATTCTATGTTAAATTGCATGGAAAACCTGACCTTTGATTTCTAATACATTCTGAGGTATACATATGCAGGTGCACATGCATTAGATGTACATGTGTACACATATGTATTAGGTATACATAGCAAATAAATTCTTTGGGGGTTTGTTTGCAACATAGTACAGAATTTTCCTCTTTCTTCCAAGTTTTTAAGACTCTCTAATAACACCATTTGGTGCAAAGTATAAATTCCACTGTTCCATGGAGTTCCTACAAAGAAAAAAGTTAATGACTTCATCCTGTTAGAACGAAGGGAAGTGAATTTATATTGAAAACAAAAACTAATCTTTTTCAGGTTTCCTCTTTAATATTTGCCTGATCCAACATAATACCTGACTTTTATAGTTCCAGATGATGATTGTCCTTTCAGTTACAGCCACGACACATTTCAGCTGAGGGAGGAAATCACACCCAGTGATCCAAGCAGTATCCTGATGAAAATAAAAAAGGATTTTCTCTATACCTCTATATGCAGATCTTAATGTAAAATGATTTCTTCTGCACAGTGTAAGATTAGAGACTCAAATTCACTACCACACTGCCCAGAATTTTGGGTTTGATTGGGGTTTTTTTAAAACATTAATAGATAGCTGGGGTTTTTTTTCTCCAAAAATGTAGTGGACCTTCCTAAATGAGAGTGAGATTGAAATGGAATATGCTCCATTTGCTGTGTCTGCAATGGCACAATTAACTATTATTTTAAAATAATTCAAAACATTTATAAAATAACACTGACTGAAGCATTTTTCTTTTTGAGATTAAAGTGACAAAGAAACATTTGATACAGATTTAAACAACAGTGTTATTGCAGTTCTTTGAGTAAACTATACCCGCCTGTAATCTCTAAAAATTAGTTCCAGTGGAAGTACTTTTCGAAGAGTTAAAAGAGGGACCTATGTTGCTAAAGATACAGTTTACATCCACGAAGTGAGTTAGGAAGCAAAAATCACAATACTAAACCCATGGTGAACTGAAGGCAGATGATGATGCTTCTACTTTTATTTCCATTGTTGAATGCAATATTGGTTGACAGAGTGATGTCAACACTACTGCAGGAGAAAGATTCTTTCCTTCCTCATGGCCTGTGGGCAATTGATAGTACATTTACAAGGACTTCCTCTGCTGTTTCTACAATAACATGTGGAAAATGTCAGTTCTGCAGAGGCCTTATTGCTTGGTAATTCTTATGGAAGACTTTGATAACTGTGGATTTTTGGGGTCCTTAAAGTAGTGTCCAGAGAACAATGACTAACTGGTGTGGAAAAGCTGATTTTACACTAGTAATTAAGCCACTATTTTGTAGTGCTGGCTTGTGATGATGCAGTCAAAGTAACAGAGTTGCATCTTGCAAAGGTTTTGCTGGTTATCACATGTACTGAGATGGTAGAGAGGCAAAACGAAAATCAAAACCAAGCAGTACGGAGAATCTTTGCATTTGAATTCTTACAAAGTCTAAGCGGCAGATGTCCCTTTGCTTTCTTTTTGTGTTTTAGTTGAATTTTAGGCAATAAAACAAGCTCTGATGAAAGGGCTTAAACTAAGAAATGTATTTCACATACTTGCCTAGAAATACAACCAAGAATCTCTGATATTACTTTGAAATTATTAAACAAAACAAATCACATTACAGGACAGTGATCTGAGAAGGCACGACTAGTCCATATGTACAGATCGAATGACCTCTCTCCCATTAAAAGTTATATGCAGTCCTGGTAACTGAATCTTTCCAAGTCAGTCAGTATATGCCTTGAGAGGGGACTTATCCCAGCTGAACACAAGTATTTCTCACCTATCTGGGAGAAACAGCTCAGTTAACCTGTGAATATTATCTTGAAAGTTAGAAGAAAGTCCGATGTCTGACAACAGTTAAGGAAAAATGAGTGGGAAAGGCTAGACATTAGCCTGGCAACTCGAAAGAAATGTCTTCATCATACTTAAATGTATTTTAGGCATGTTAGCTCAAGGCTAGTATTTTGTTTTCCCACACTGAAGGTCAAATTCAAATACTTTGAGAATATAGGGGAGAGTGAAAATGGCTGTTATCATTCAGGTTGGCAGGGGATATGCTCTTGGGACAGAATTTACTAATTCTAATAGAGGAATTAAGCAAAATGTTGGAACAATGATGTTGACATGTCCAGCAGTGAGCTACCATTTTTCAGAGATGTTTCTTTAAATGTTTCAAAGAGCAAATGTTTTCCTCTAACCTGTGCCTCAAGGCCTACTTTCAAAGTCTACTCTTCTGAAGCTTTCTTCTAGAGGAGCTATAAGTCATGTCTTCAACATTCTGTGAAATCCTGTCTTTTTCCTCTTACCCCATGTCTACCTGGAGGTAAAAATGCACTGGCTATTTACTAGGTGCTGGCACCTGACACCAAGACTTCTGAGCTTTTCCTTCAGCTGAGATCAGAGCCCCTTCCACAGGATAGAATAACTGAATAGAGAAAGCTAGATCCTTTCTCACTGATGGTAGAAAGAGATGACAAGGACCCTTTGCCCTTTTCAAAATCTTATATAGCCACTTAAGTCAATTAATTCGTTTTAGATTTTCATACACAGAGATGAGATTCAACCTTTCACATCCGGGAGAAATGAGAAACATTTAACTTTCCACAACTAAGTAACTAAACTTTACAAAATGAGTTAGTTTCTTGATTACATTGGTGTCTAAGTTAGTCTATATACTTACACTTTTCAGGGCCTTAATAGTCCGCCTCCCACCAACCTACAGAATAACTTTAGTTCCAGTTTTATTATACAATTCCGGATAACAGTTTCTCCCTCACTATTCTCTCCATATAGCTAATGATGCTGAGCCATCAAACTTGGTATGGCCATGGGCTTCAGCTTCCCTCTCTTGTCACGGCATCTGTGACTACAAAACCACACTGACAAACCAGAACTTGTCAATGGTCAGTCGCCAGGCACCCATGCATTGCTATGTAAAGGTACCTTAATGCTTAGCATGTTCTCAGGAAAAACCCTTTTTTCACCAGTTTGAGGACTATTACTCCCCTAAAGAGTTAGCAGTGAAAGGTTAACAGGTGCTGGAATAACTTGTGCCTTCCGTTCTGTCTGGTTTTACTCCAAATAGGAACAAGCATATATAATTCATTAAGGGAAAGGCCTGCTTGCATTTAAACAAACATTTCAAAATCAGTCAAGGAAAATTAAGCTTGATCTTTCTTTTCCAGTGAAGCATCCTAGCCATTGTACTGTAGTATCCACTGGCTTAGAGACATGATTACCACTGAGAAGCTATTTCACTAAAAACGAGAAAAAATGACAGAAATTACAACCTAAGAAGCATTAAACCCACTTCTGGTTTGAAGAGTAAACAAGAATGCCTGTTCATATGAAGGTTTTTTTAGATCTATACATCAGGAGGAAAATGTTGGCCAGGACAGATCTTCTTTTCTAATATTCTCCTCTCTATAGAAGATAAATATTCTAATTACTAACTGTGAGTCTAAAAATGTAGCTGAAAAAACCAGGTTTCAACACACAACATGCATTTTTTGTATGCCAGCAGAAAGCACGAATTAGTAAAACATACTCCCAATTTACCCTTTTTCTTTTTGTACTATTTATAGACACATATATACTGTATTTATATGTTATATTTGACAATATAACAGCAAAAGTAGGAAAAAATGTGTTTATTGCACCAATTTATTAGAAATTGCCAGTCAGGGAAAGATCCAGCATAGAGAAGTTGAAGTTTCCTGGAACAGGCAGCAATAGAAGTGTTTACACATATATAATTGAATCATTCTTAAGATTGCCTCTAAATCTGTCTCTAATAATTCCAGTGGAACTACTTAAATTACACCAAAGATCAGTGCTTATAGTGGAGAGACCACTATAATAAGTGAGATTGGCTTGCTGCATAGCATGCTCCAGAGAATGTCCACTGAGAATTTTAGAAGCTAACAAAGATTGTTCAAGTTAGCTAGCACTGCCTTTCAGGCCAGTTCTTGCTCCAGGACCTCAGCCTGTGGAATAAACAGGCTGGGTAAACAGCAGAGCATGGTGCTCCGTTCTTAAGAGCCAGAATGAAAGCTTTTGAAGAAAACAGGTTTCTAGCATGGCTTGAGGTTACCTGGAAACAAACGGTATGAAAGTCCTGAAAAAACAGTGCCCATATTAATAGATTAATTTGGTACATTGAGAAGTGGCTGCTAGAAGAGAACAGTCTTTAGAGACTGCAAGCAAAACATGCTGCCAAGTTCCATCTTTAGAGGAAAGTCTATAAGAATTTCTCTACTTAGCCCTGCCGTACTTCACAGACAAATGAGGCAGCTGCACCAGATCAAACTTTTCATTTCCTTGTTCCATCCTGTCACTCAAAGGCTCTATCTTCACTCCCTCATTTCCAATACAGTTTCTATTTCAGCTTGTCTGGCCTATCCACTGGGTCTGTTTATGTTTTTTTATGCTGAATTTAAAAGACATTTCATTTCCGTTCTTTAAGAGAAGTGACTTTTTCACTGTCAGTATTCCCATCGTCATTCAATGATGATTCTGTGCTGACTACCATTTTTGGAATCTGTCAGCTGGACAATTGTTAATCTATACATTCCAGTGTTTTTTTCAGTGGTCATATTTTAAAACAGAAAGTTGCATAGTTGAATGCTGTACAGATTTTTAAGAGTATTTTATTTATACTTCTATTCTTTCCATAGCTTGATCAGTTAGCTAATGCCAGTATAGATAATGATGATGTTAAACCAGGAGAAAATGGTATAATTGTAGTGAGAGAAGAATGGACTGTTATTTCTGCAGACCTGAAGAAGAGAAATGTAAGCCCTGCAAGGCAAAAGCAGTTTTCTGTCTTTAGCTATTCAGAAGTTAATAATAAGGTATTATTCATAGTTGTACTTTATAACCATCTTCCTGATGCCATCTCTAGGGACAAGCATTATTCTGATCTCACCTTTGTGTATTTGGATGGAGGAAGTTGTTCCTGCAAGCAAAGCAGGAACATACTACTGAATTAAATGCAACCCAGGCCCAGAGCTGTTTTCTGAGGTGGAGTAGTAGGACCTGTGGTCTGGAGTACTTCTATTTATATTGCTTTTTAGAAAATGCACAATATGTGGGACATGAGATAATCAACAAAATGCACTGCCCTCTGGCACAAGGTACCTACACAGACTTTAAGGGCAAGGGGTCATAATACTTTGTTAAGACTGGAGACGCTCATTACCTAAAATCTGTACTGATACTCCCATAGTAAAAATGAGCTTTTAAAGTATATCCTCTGTAGCCAACCAATCTACCTAGCAAGATGTAGAACCGTTTTTCACAAATGAACTTAAAACACTTTTTCATATTTCAATTTTACAGTGACAATTGAAGTTCTGGATCTTAAAAGAAAAAATTCTGGAAATGTAACAGGTAAAGGAAAATCTGGTAGAAAAAGCAGCATTTATCTGAGTTTTTTTTTTATCAGAAGAGAAATCAAGATATTCAATAGTTTCTATAACTGAAAGGAATACATTGAACCCATTGGACCTATGGCACCCTCTGACAAATTATGCAGAAGTCTCAAGGTTGGCAGTAGCATTAGAATAATGCTAAGTTTCTAATTATTTCACTTTAGTACCTGCTGATTTTTAATTAATTTCACAGAAGGAAAAAAATGAACTTACTTCAATAGAGGTGTTTGCCAGAACCTTCATCTGAAAAAAACCCAAACAAAAATATGTTGTCATAATTACAAGTTTGCCATTAAATTAAAAGACTGAATAGAGACAGCTATCCTCTATCACAGGTAGAATAGAACAGTAATACTTCACAGAAATAATTTACAGTTAAGGTCTTCTGAGAAAGATCTTCAACACACCTACTTGTGTGACCCCTATACAGTGAGGAACTGAAAAAAAACACCCTCTTTCTCTCACAGTGTTTTTTTGTGGTTTGTGTGGGATTTTTGTTGGTGTGGGGTTTATTTTATTTTTGGGGGGGGTTTTTGGTTTTGTTTTGTTTGGTTGGGTTTTTTTGTTTGGCTTGCGTTTGTTATTTTTTTTAAATTGAAGTGAGCAAAATATGTAAAACAATACCATTTTTTTTACTGTGGAGTACAGATCAGCTGTTCTGATAGAACTGTGCTTCTAATGGTCCTTCACAGCTAAAACAGCTTCAAATCCTGGAAGAGGTAGGATGTGCCATATAGAAGCCCAAGCTAGTGCTGACTGAGATGACATGTCAACTAGTGCCAGCAAAATACCAGGTACAAGTAGCATTTCAGGCTGCAAATAAGAGTACCCATGGCACAGCATCTTTGAGCAAAGTTAACTATTGGTGAACAGTGTAGTGTATGGCTCTGAAGTGTTTAAAGTCCCAGGGTGATAGGCATACCGGTCACCATCATCCAGTTGAGACAGGATTGCCTGACCAAATATTATTCATTCATATACATGGAACATGCTGACTTCCGTAGGATATATGTGCCTCCAAGAATACCTTATTTTTAATAATCTTTAAAATGCAACAATCATATAAAACCAAGCCTCTCTGTGTATATGTCAATGCACTGCTCAGGAACTCATATTTTGGCCCCTTCACCCAGAGCACAAGTCCTATGAAGCAGCATCTTCATATGCTCTTACCAATATGCTGCAAAGCCAAACTAGAGAAAACACCTCACTAGCTGAGATTTTAAGGTCAGCTCTTTTAAAATCCTTGGTGTTTGAGAGAAGAATGATGCAAAAGTTGCCAACTCTATATGTGCGTTTGGGATGTGGTGTCATATTCTAGCAAGAGGACTCAAAATGACTGCAATGCTAAAGAACTGAAGTTTTCTCTTGCTTGCATGAAGATATATCAGAGCAACTCTAATGAAGTCAAAAGTCATTTGCTCAGATCAACAGAGATCAGAGATCATATCATGAAAAAATGACTGCTGTTGTAATGCCTTAGTAATTTTCAGAACATACAGTTTTATAAGTGAGATTTGAGGTCTAATTCACTGCATTAAGCTGCTGGGTGTAAGATCATTTGCACTGCAGTTGCTGATGTCAGAGTGACATCAGTCCAGTATATGAGGAGGCAGCAATTCAAGCTGAAAACAGCATGGGGAAGTAGGGGGTGGGGAAGAGAGCTATTTTTAACATAATACTCAGTGCAATTATATTTTGCAGATAGAGGGATAATACACCAGAGGACAGAGAACTAGGCTTTCAAATAAATTATTTTAGTATTTACCAGAACTGCAGTACTGCTTTGTTGCCTAATCATCCACCGGAGTACTTTCTTGTGTTACATGCTCTTTTCATAAGCATTATGCACTAATTAGCTAAACTGCCTAGAAAGGATTAGTGCTGTATTAAAGCTTTACTGTATTGTCTGAAACAATTTTTATCAAACTGGTTGTATGAAAATTGTTCAAGTGTAGTGTCAATGAGTATAGATGTATGATGTACCTCATAGCATCTAGAAGTGTGTACTTCTAAATAGCAATACAATAATCTGTGATAATCATTTCCAAATTCTAGCAGTATCATATAGACTGTCAGAAAATTCAAGACTTTCAGGCTTCTAGATGTTGTTGTATTGGGTAACCCTTCTTCGCAAACAACTGATAAATATTTCTGCCCATTCTAGATTCATTCAGTAGCTGTAGGAAATAGTTAATTCCCTGGTTTCCACTAGATATGCAAAAGTTAATTTCAATAGCATGTTTTGTATTAAGGAAAACTTTTTCTAAAAAGAAATACAGATTATTTTCTATTAAACTATCTTCTGTTAAGAATGTTTTTTATTAGCCATCTCTACTTTCTATCAACTTCTGTGGACTGTTCAGTAGGTTTATAATTGAAAATACCGGTGTATATTTCCTTCTGTACTTAAAAAAATAGAAAAAGTTAACTTTAATTAAAAAAAAATCTACTTTTTTTTTTTTAATGGGTAAGTTTGCATACTGGATCACAGCTCACTCAGTTCCCATATATACTGCTTAATGGAAAAATTAAAAAGTTTGTTTGAGTCAGAATTACCTGCTTGTTAAAAACAGTTAGCACTCCTTTCTGAGAGGATGTTACTATGAAATCCAGATTGGGCACCTTCACTATACCTTTAATAGCATCATCTCTCTTCACAACTGTCAATGACAAAATATAACTTTTCATCTTTCAGACACAGAAAATCTAAACAAATTAAACCATAATATCAAGAACATTTTCTCGTCTTGAAATGGATACTGGTACCAACTCCAAGACAGCAGTGCATTATATTACACATTATCCTACACTTGATTTAAATAATCATGATTCACCTTCAAATGTCACTACTGTTTTATGAATGTGCTAGATCTTTTTATATTATTTAAAAATTACAGAAAGGCAAGTAATAAATAAATAACTGCATAAATAAATACTCTGAGTCAAACCATTCATAATTTCAGAATAATTTAGGAAAATGCACAACTGGGCAAGGCAGCAGTGGGATGTTCAGATGCGGTAAGTTTAGTAAAGGAAACATTCTGGAATACCTAAGAAGAAAAAGAAACATGAATAATAAGCAAAGACAGAAATTCAATCTTATCACTGTACTTTCACTAAAATGTGTAACACACAGCATTAAAAAAAATTAGTTTTGGATACAAGATGAAGTATGTTACCTGTATGAGTAATCTGCTTTTTTTTGGGTAGAAGAAAAACCATGTTTTCTTCTTTCAGCTGGGGAAACATGCCATCACTTTCTCCTAAGAAACAGCCAAAAATCTAAACAGAACAAACCAGAACAAATGAAGCAATTTATAACAAAACTACTTCTGGAATATTTGTTTATATGTATAAAGTCAAATATTTATCTGACATTTTCCTCATTTAATATTCTTTGAGTAATTTTCCTGGTGTTATGTACCTTAACCTTAGCTGTCAATATGATTTTAGATTGCTGAGATCTGCTACTAAGGCACAACGTTTCCTGAATGTTTGGAAAGAAGCCAGCACACACAGGGCTTCTAGGAATAAAAGCCATCTAATTGATGAAGCTGTTCGTACAGCTTTGCCTTGTAAAAATTGTTTGTAAATAATTATCTCCAATTTTCCTTTTCCAGTTAAGCTACTTGTGCTTCCTCAGCCAAACCTCAGGTAGAAGAAAAAAGAGTAAAAGGCAGACAAAATAGACTTCTCTATATTTATAAACTGAGAGATTCAAGGCAAAATAGTGGTTTAGCCTACACAGACGAGCTTTTCCATACAGAAAATGTAATTCCCTTTTGCCTGAAAAAAACCTGAATATAAATTCCATTTTTTAAAATCCTTTTTCAGCTAACCCTAAGCCAGGCAATGTTCCACATTTATTGATCATGACAGAGATCCCTACAGCGGATATTCAAGTAAGTAGCTCATCTCTGTTCCAGGGTATGATAATACTTCAGCATTTCAGCTCTCCAAACCTCAAGCTCTATACCTGTGTGCATTTCCTCAGGAAACAAGTTCAGCCACACTCTGCTCCACAGATTTTTTAATCTCCTTTCTCAGCATATATAATGGACATTGTATATACTCACTTTCACGAGTTCTAAAAGCAATGCCCCTTTGGATGCAAGACAAAGCTTTGCAATTTTCTAGCTCAGTATTTTTCATGTTATACAACAGAATTCACATTTTTCTTCGAAAGATTCAGATGAACATCTTAAAAAAAAATGCTTACACAAAATTAGTCTTCATCTTTCACTTCACAGCTCCCGCCTTACCATGCACACAATTATTTCTACCATATATCATCAGTCAATGCATTGTCTATTATAGCCCCTTATATTCCTCTTTGCAGTTTCTTGTAATATCACCTTGTGACTTTTTCTTTAATGACAGACTGACCTGGCATCAGGTCACTCCCAAATCCTGACCAGATGCCAGATGCAGTGGTTGGGCTAGGCCAGTAGCTGCTCTAAAGCCAACAAAGATGGAAGTTATCAGTGAGATCAGTGAGACACCTAAGAGTGCCCTGTTGTGCTTCCTGTATACATGAGGTGGTGCCACATCTGGTCTTTTGCTCAGCAGGCAGAACACTGATGCTGAAGAAAGGCCATCTTAGAAATCCCTTTCAGGTGTATAAATGTCTTTTGCTGTCTCCAACACAGAGACAGGGGAGCTTTCAAAGTGCCAACTACATTTAAGAAAGAGATGGAGAGGCCAGTTTACCAAGACATTGATAAATGATAGCTATTAGCCTGTCCAGGATAAGTATTTTAAATTTTGAAGCCAGTATATGATTAAGAATAGATCTAACTAAAGAGAAGATTTTAAATTTCGTTGATGTTGGGTTTTTTTTTTTAAATTAAATAGTGGCCTTTGAGTATGGGTATACTGTTGTGGAGACTGCTGGAAACTTAGGAAACCCTTGAGCATGGAGGTAGTTGAAAAATAGAAAGGTCAGGAAGAAATAAGAACACTCACACAAGGCTGTGATCCTTTTGGTCATGGAAATATGCTGTCAAGCTAAAAAGATGCCAGATATGAAGAGATAAATTTGAAAAAAAATAAGATCTGTGAGAGTAGGAAGAGTGGAACAAAGGGTCAGCGACAGAGTTCTGGGGAACGCGGGTGGGCAGAAAGAGAGACAGAGATGATAGAAGAGAAATATCAAAGAAACACAGGGATGTGTATCCCTCTTCCTTAACTTTCAAGACTGAGGACATGCTCAGCAGTGCCCAAAGCAGCAGGGGAACTCAGAAGAACAGGGATGAAATACAGTCTTTTTAGAAAAAAATCCCACATTAGAAAACTGCAGCACAAACAGCTGAAACCATGATGGCTATTTAGGATGTCACAGAAAGTAACTTCTCAATCATACTTGGCTTCATTCCTGACTTTAGTAACTCTTCAGGATTACCTGAACCATTTTGAAAATATAGAGTTTGTCAAGAAACAAAATTTAAAAAAGACCATCACCATGTAGTATATAGAATACAAACCAACCCTATTTTATCTTACTAGAACCCATTCAAATAAGCCTGGAAAAACCTAGTTTGATGCAACCATTACAGATAGGATATTACCACAATTGCAGTAGATCAAAAGCTGACGCTGAAGTTATGGTTGATGCAAATTGGGCTTAGACAACAATTAATTGATCAATGCAATGATTATTATGTTTCAGTATAAGCTAAATCTGGAGAATCCCAGGAGTCAGCAGTTTTCTTAATTCAGTTTTCAACTCTTTCTCTATACCCTGACTCTCTATACCCAGACTACCCATAAAACAAATCTTATCCTTTTGACCTGAAAGGAGCTTAGCTTTATATTCCACAATGTATAGATAGCTCGTAACACATCACTGTCAGATTTCCCACTAAATGGAAAGAAAACAAAAACCAAAAAAACCTCACTTTTGCTTTTCCATGCAGTATTGTGTTTCAAATTGATAGATAATGATGTTTCAATGTAAAGAAATCCATGTCAGATTGAAGCTGATAAAATAGTCTGATCTTTGTCTGCTTCATAACTGAATTATCACCTCCATCATGAATGAATTTCCATTTACACTATATTAAATATTTTCCCCACAGGAGAAAATAAATAAAAAACTCCCACAGTAATACTTTAACCAGGATTCTTTTGAACAGAGAAATAATAAATATTTCTATTTCACTCCTTACAGCACTTAATATAGTCTCACTGATATCCATCTTCTACATGAAATGTGTGCTGTGAGATGCTGAAGGTTCACTGAATGCCACACTCCTCTTTTTTCAGGAAAGTTTATACACAGGGCATTTTAAAAAGCTCACACTTGGTAAAATTTGGGGAATGCTCACAGAAATGGTTCTGGGGAATTTTATCCCAAGCAAATCCCACACATGTATCACAAGGAAACTAAAGGTGCTTCACTTCTTTCATTAGACTGCATACTGTGCTTGCTTGTGTAATTATGTAACCCAGGTAACAAGTCTGATTGCATTGGAAACCTCAAGTAATGTTTTGGAGTCAAAGATGCACATTCCAGTAAACAAACCAAGCTTCCTTCAGATCTCTTATAAACTAATGAGCCAGAACATAGTGTGCTACTCTTCTGCTTCCCTAAACAAAGGACAGTCGGTCTGAAAGTCACCATGAATTCAGAAGTACTATTCTCAACCAGTCCCTGCTTCATACTCATAGGGCAGATCTTACGATATATAAGACGTGTGTCTAGCTTGCCACATCTACACAAGAGACTATGTCACCTCTCTCTAATGCCCTGCAAAAAGTAGTAAGAAGTTTGAAATGAGGTAGAGAATTTTGAATAGTACAAGAATTTGGCTAGTGCTGCAGTTGTGCAGTTCTTCAGTATGTCTGATGGCAGCTGGCCATTTCAGGAGCTTAGCTTGTACATCATGTACCACTAAATCCAGAAATGTCTTCCCCCTACCCTATTTTTACACAGTTTCAAAGAAATATTGAGCCAAGCCAGGACTTCACCTTTAAGTTTCCTCTCATGTTGAAAGAGAAGGGAAGAAGGAATGACATACAAGTAGAAGACATGCAAAGATAAAAGATTTCAAATTTAGCTCTCACAAAGTGAATTTAGTAACAGAGGAATTTGATTTGGCATTAAGTTCTATCTGTCAAAGAGGGCTTAAGGGCAAATTCTCTAGAAGGCAGTTATGTGATGTCTTCTACAGCTAACTTTCACATATTTCCCCCAGGCCTTCATTGAATAAAACCTTTAATGCCTGAGATGAGCAAAGTTTGTGAGTAATGTGACATTGTAATTAAAAACAATGTTAAGAGAGGTATTAATCAGAAATATTCCCATACAAAACCATAATAAATTGAAAAGATTGAACACGCTGGTTTTAGGATGGTATTAAGAGATTGCAGGAATAGTTGATAATATGTAAAAAACAGATGTTGGGTATCTTTAAGGTTCAAATAATAATATGATGTTCCAGCATAACATAAAACAGAAATCTGCTGATGAATTTATGACTTGGGCCACTTGTTAATACCTTGCCTTATGGATTTAATTCCAGCAAGGACTTGCCATATATGTAATGTCACCTATGCTATCATAGGAAAGTACTGTGTACTGGAAGTTATATCCCATCTACACAAATCTGTCTTCAGGTGAAAAAGAAACACAGAATCTTTTAGTAACATATGATATGAATGCTCTTGATAAAGCTTGGCTCCAACAATATAAAAATCAGTAATTTTTATAGAGTAGTTGCTTGAAACACTATCCATGGGAAATAACTTAATAGAAGATACTTTTCTAGAACAAAAGTTCATAATTTCTCATAACGTGCAAAAAACAAAGAGCAACATGTTTAAAGGAAACCTGACAGTGTATTTTTTCACAAGATGTGTAAAACTGTGGGTGCTATGAAAGTATCATTTATAGGTGTGTTGAAAAGTAATTTACAAATGGATAGATCAAAAATCCATGAGGGATACTAAACAGAGTGCACTTGCAACTCTGTCACAGAAAATCCTTAAGCTATGTGCAGCCAGAAGCAAGGAGGGGTGAACCAGAACTACTATTTCACAGTTACCTCATTCTTGTACACTTTTTACAAAGATTTGCTATTTACCACCATTAGAAACAGAAAAATTGTTTAAATGGATCTCATCCATCTACAGACTCAAATAATGTGCACTGCATTCTTTGATTAAAAAAGTCTCCACTAAAATGATGCCATACCTCTCATGCTTCACATTTATAGGCCAGATTTATCCCTGTGAAAAGGGGAAGAGGAAGGAGAGGAAGCAGAGGAAAGAGAGAAAAGAAAGAAAAGAGAGAAAGCACTTCTGATTGTTTAGCTATAGATAGACTTATCCTGAGAGCACAAATTGCATGCTGTAGTCATAACAGATTTTGTCAATAAGCCTGTGGCCAGTGCGGATCACTGAAGTTGTTCAGGAGAAGACCTGGACATGCTCAGGTTCCATGTTCCAGATCCTGCTGCCTTGTCAGGAATCTAGTATATCAAACTGTGTGAAGACAAGCAGTTCTGGTAGACCACTCAGTGCTCTTTTACAAAATAAGCAGGAAAAAATGTTTTTATTTAATTAGCTCATCCTTTAACATTTGTTCATGTGCATCTATATAATAGGCTCAAGGATCTTCAGAGAGAACAGACACCAACTTCCTTAACTCATGTAAAACAGTGGAGCATAATTAATGTTTAATAATGTATTTGATTTGCAAGTTCAGCTACCAAACAGATAGGAGCAGGAAAGAAAAGTAGTTCACCTACAAATAGAAATTTAACTTAAGCAGGCTTCATTTAATTAATTCTGATTAATCTTTCTTATCAGACCTCCAATGACATGCCTTTATAAGGACAGGCGCCTCTCAGAGTTTGAAAGAGTGGAATAATTAAGATCATAAGAAATTTGGAATAAAGTCCTGCTTGCTGAAATTATTGGACTGATTTTGTAACCAGCACAGTATGGGCAAATCTTGCTCTTAAGAATCTGCTACAATTAGCAGCATGGATTCTCCCATGTGTTAAGCTGGTTTGCATGATATATTTAGAAGTCTGAAATTAGACAGGTAGTCAGCAGAAAATCCAGTACAAGGAGCCTCTTGGCAAAAACTTATAGAGACAATGTTGTGATTTCAAAATACCCACCTGTTTACCCATGTGAAAAAGGGGGAAAGGCAGGGTTCAGCAAAGGTCTTACATACTTTATCTTTCACTGACATGATGGCCTGAAAGAACTAGCCCTCACTTCAATGAAATAGGTTAAGGATGCCTCTAGGAATTATTTTCATATTTACAACTTCCACTTACACTAAATACTGATCTTCTGATGCTGAAGCTTCACATCGCAGGTCTTGGCAGTAGGAACATAAGATTATTCTTACTTAAACTAAAATTATAAGGGCTAGAAAGAGCTAAATTTTTACAATATTACAAACGTCTTCAGCTCTCAAGGCACATACCAGAATGGATATCATTCCTCAAATTTCACAAGAGAAATTCCAAAGACAGATTTTACCCTCCCATCTTCAAATGTCTTTCCTGGAAATTTGCATTTAATCAACAAATGGACACACGTAAGTTTCTAAATTGTTTACTATCACAATAAACATGGAGCCTTTTAAAATCAAACATCACTTTTTGAATAGGATAGCAGCAACAAGTAAGCTACTCTTAAGCTACTTATTCAATCTAGTTTTTGTCTACATCAACCAAAACGATACATTTAATCTAATTTTCTAATTTCAAAGGCAAATCTGTTTTCCAAATAATAGTGTTTTTTGTGAGGGAAATAGTGGCCAGGATAAATAACAACATGAGAGTGCCCCATTATGCCATGCAACACATGAACAACAGACTCATGAACAACACATAATTAACAGTTAAATACTGTTATCTTTTAAGATTCTAATTGGTTGCTTATACTTAATAAAGTTTTAGAAATCCTTACCTCACACCACTCTATCCTTACATCAGGGTTGTTGCTAATCTTCCAGAAAAAGGCCTTAACATTATAATCCTTCACTTCTGCACCAAAAAGTGCCTGTGTGGCTGCATAGAACTTTTCATAGTCTATCTCATCTGTATGGGAGGAACAATATCCAGAGAGTTAAAAACTGGCAAACTACAGCTTCCTTCCTTATTCCCCCTACCTACTGGTTTATTTCTCCTTCAGTATCAATAAGCATGTCAGTTCTAGCTCCTTACACTATATTCACTGACGTATTTTGCAAAACAACAAGAAAGTTCAGTCTTAATGTTCAGTCTTTTTAAAACTATCTGATTTGCAATGCATGACAGGAAACGGATAGATAAAAGAACAGGTGACAAATTCTTACCTCTGCTTTCTTCCCTTACTTTCACACCAGAAGTCTGATATGTTGTTCTGAACCTAAATGGTGTCTGGGATAAAGTTTATCCTTTCATGCAACAATAGACGCTTGCATTGAGTAAAGCAAACATTTGCCCTCATTATTTACAATTAAGCAACTGGATTTACATGATTCATTGGGTTTGTGTTTTTACAAATCAGTAGAAACATCGCATCATGCTAACTTGTATATATGTGGCAGCTCCACCAATTGTATTTTGTGAACAACAACCATAGCATTATAATTTGACCTGAATCCTAACAGAAGGAGAAAAGCATTCTCATAGTGCAATCTGCCTATTTTCTGCAAAAATCAGTAAGTCACAGTTTGAACATTAATTTGAGGTCTTTCTTATAGTCTTGTCTCTGCCATACCTTCTCTCCGTATGAAAATCATACTTTCCATCAGAAAAAAATATCTCTTACCATTGTCTTTAATATACAAGCCTAATTTCTCCTTTGTCTTCTGGGTTACTAGTTTTTCAACTAGTTCCTGAAACTCCTTCACAGCGTTCTTGAAATCCAGCAATTCAAAAGCAGAGCAACTCTCCTTATCAGAATCCTTCTCAGACATCCTTTAACAGAAGACAAGGTAGATAGAAGATGGTAAGAGGGAGAGATCGCCTTACAGCCTTGTCCAAGCCGTTTTTCACTCCTTAAATCTTAAATTCCCACATGAGTTCATATGAGATGCAACTGCATGACAGGTATACCAAACATATTAAAAAGAGGTGACTCAAGCTGGCACCTCAAGCTGGCACCTCAAGGTGGCAAACATAGTATGAACTGCTGATGTCACAACCTCTATTATGTCACAGAATCCTACTGGCCCTAGGTTACAAACCAGAATCACTAATAAGCTGTCAGGTGAGATTATATCATGGCATCTCATGCAACTGGTGGTTGAACAGGCATGAACTTTCTCACTTTCAGAGCCAGACAAGGATTTCATCAGGGTTCAATTCTGCTATATAAGGCACCCCATTAGCAACATGAGATCACATTCTCCATAACAAAACACCTTTGAGACTACCTGTTGCAACTTTATCCTGTATTTCAGACTTTTGTATGTAGTGAGGAGGAAGGACAATTATACCAGTTATCTCTAAGTTTCATATTGTTTTCTTATGCTTTAGATTATTTTCAAGTTTTCTGCCAAAGGCTGTGCATCAGCTAACACAGTTAGGAACAACTGCAATTGTGTATTCCCTTGGATCCACACTTCATTTAGTGAAGAATGGCAGAGCCGATTCTCTGTTTAGATATGCTCTGTGACAGGAGAACTGAGACCAGCCTGATGATATTCTAGCATGTGCTACTGCTGCAAGGCTCAGCCAGGGAACTCGATCTAGTGGGGATGTCTGGTTTTATAGTAGCAATAAGAGTATTTTAAGAGAGATATTAAGTTATTAATCAATATTCATGTAGTACAAAGAGGCCAAAGACATCCAATTCAGACAAAAAAGAACTAGAAAAGCACTTTTTGACGGTTCTTGGAAATAACATTGAATGTTTACTTCCTTAGTCAATCTCAATTTCCTGAATATATGCCTTCTTGACCTCTACTGTATTCAAAATCCCTACTCAATGAGCTAGAACTTCCAACCTAGAAAACAAATTATCCTACAGAAACATTTTTTGAATTGTATAAATCATTATAATTCAGATTGTAAGAAATCCAGTTATGGAGTGGTAGAGTTTCAGTTATTTTCTGCTGTACAATTGCCTCCCCCTTAAGCTTTTACAGCCAAACAAACTCTTACTTTTCTTACTTAACTTCTTATTTAACTTTTCTTACTTAACTTTTCTTACTTAACTTCCACTCAAGTTACTATTTTATTTTTTTTTCTCCTAACAAACAACTAATGAGCCCAGAAATTAAGTGTTGGCTCTTAATATGTGCCAGTCCAAAGCTCAGCTACATGCCTTAAATGGTTACTGTTTTGGAAAGGGTCTGCGTTTAATTTGTACCTAAATTCAGGCAGGATCATAAAATCAGAATATTATATGAAGGTACCATTCTGGTTTTTTTCTTGGGGTATACTTAAACAAAGGCAGGATAGGACTATCCAGAAAGCAAAATTGCATCTACCACTTCCTTTTGAAAGTGGCAGCCCAGACCACCCACTAACTAATCAAAATTATTTGAGAGTCCATCCAGTGTCTTGAGATCAAACTTAATTTTTGCCCTACAAGAGCACCAGTTCCTGCATTATATCTGTACTACCTTTCTATACACTACATCTTAATTTTTTTACTGAATAGTGGAACCCTAAGGTGTCCTACTGGAGTGGTGGAAAAGTAGATTTATTTTTCCTTAGAAAAAAAAGAAAAGCTGAAAGAAAATTAAATCCAAAACTATCCTCTGACTGAATAACAGAGTGACTACTGAAGAAAAAGCAATACCAGTTCTTGTGAGAATATTCTTGTGAGAATAAAGAATTAAGCTTCATTCATTCTTTGGAAAGGAATGATATAAAGAGCTTTCTTCAAAGAATGGTTCAGTGCAGTGACATTTAAGAAGGAAACATTTTCCTGAAAAAAACAGGTGCTTGAAAAAGAAGTTCTGTGATTTGCACCTGTGATCATCAGTAGTCTTTTATTGACTAAACTGTCACAGGTTTTTTAAAAAAGACTTTAAGCATTGGTAGTTAATATGTTAATTACTATAGATCATGTTATAATCACAGATTCTCTGCATATGGAAGCTAATTATCTTGATCAGGGTTCTGCATTCTATGCTACACCTCAGATTATGAACTTTTATTTCCTAACCCCTTACTGAATCTGATCCTTTATGCTTGATTGATAAGCAAATTTTAAAGTCTTAACATTTCTTGACGCTGCCATCTGAGGCAGTGCGTTCTACTGCGTAGTCGGAAAAACCGTGTTCTTTGTCTTGGCTCTGCTGTTTCTTCTCTCTTGGTAACCTAATCAGGTTGCTGAAAACTACCTGTAAAACAGGAGCAACATCCCAACCTGGAATGAGTTCCCTTATATTATTACTAATTCTTAGAAGTTAATGCCCATATTTTATGTTCCATATCTGCAAGTTCCTTTTGTATCACTGCACTATGCTGACATTAAGTTCTGGCACCTTTCTGTTTATCATGCTATTCTCATGTCTCCTGTGCATTACATGAATATTATTGGCATAATAAATATAACTGAACTGTAATTGAAGGTGAATAAAACTGTTCATGGTAGTAGCAATGTTTAAGCAAGCATGCATTTACATTTGTTCACTGATCTTCTTCCAGTTAATGAAGTCATTAATTCATATTCATTACACAATCACAAATTTCTGTGATCAACAAAACTCTAAAGTATTTCAGAGAAGCACATCAGTGATAATGAGTAGAGGCTGGTATCTCCTGCAGTTACAAAAAAAGTGGAGCTCATGAAGAAATCACAAAAAAACTTGTCCCCCTTTTTATTGCTCTCACCAACGTAATTTACATAATCCTGGATTATTTTTGTTTTTATACCAGTGCAGATATTATTGCTTTATTAAGCATATGACTAAGTTTGGGATGAGAAAATCCGACTAGAACAACCAAGCCAAAATATCCCCTTTGGTCCTAGTGTCCTTGCTCCCAAATTTAGTAGAGGCATCATACATTCATAAGGTTTAAATCCAGAAAAGACCTTGATATCTTCTACTTTAATCTTCTCTATGTTGCAGATCATTAAATATCAGCCATTTATCACTATAACGAGCCAAACAACTTTGTTCTAAAGCATAACTTGGAGAAAGATATGAAGTTTTAATCTGCAGATGCTCAGAGATGGAGAATCCATGGTGTTTGTTCCAAAGGTTAATTCCTCACACTTAAAATTTAAGCCTCCTATATGAATTTGTGTAGCCTCAGCTTCCAGTCAGCAGTTGTTGGACTGTCTTCACTGATTCAGAGTAATCATTACGATATTCTCCTAGTAGGGGCCTTTGTACCTGAATTACTTCTCCATTTATTTTTTTTTTTTCTCTCTTGTTAATTAAATCAGCTTGAACTCTCTGCTTCCTATTGCAACACTTTCCTTCAGGCCTCAAAATAATGTCTGTGATTCTTTTACCCATTTTTTCAGCTTTTCAGTATCTTTAAATAATGCAGATGCCATGTTGCCATGCTATACCATAATAAACAGATTGGTACTCTGGTCAAATAATGAATTTCAGTCTATTTGTTAAGCTCACTTTTCATGAGACCGTATTTAACAATTTCTTTTTACAGTTCTTTAGCTATTGATCTCCAGATCAGCTTTTCTATTACTTCACCCAACACTGACAGGCTTATTGGTCAAGTTTTTCTTGAATTGCCATACATGGGCTCCCTGCTCTGTGGAAATTAATATCAATCAGGCATGTTTCAAGAATATAAGAATCACTTTAAAAAAACCAAACAAAAACCCCAAAAAAACTCACAGATAAAGATCATAGTCTTTACACACACTGGGAAAATCAGCTGAGCAACACTTCTGAAACATACAGGGAAGACAACAATTTGCTATTAAACAAAGTTACTAAAAACAGTGCCTGCAGTGTCTCTGCATGAAACAGCCAGTTCTCCAGGGAAAGTGGTGTTTCAAGATATGCTACCTAACAAAAGCAACCAAACTGCTTAAGGTTGACACAAAAAGCAGCACTGAAAAGGGACAAATAGCTTGGAAAAGGGAGGATAGCTTGAAAAGGAAAAGGGAAAAGGGAAGGGATATCTTCAGGGTGCATTTTTGCTAGTTCCAACAGTAATTCTCCAGGACAATGTTTCCCTTGTGTGTCAAGGTACTCAGTGGTTGGTCAGATACTGCATCTTGGTCAGAGTGCTGGTGTATTTCATACATTGCTTCCAGCTGAATCCTTGTTCAGCAGTGTTTCCTGTTGATGAATTTTTCCAGTTTGTGTCATCTAAACTTGTACAACATCAGGCTATATTTCTCATTTCCCAACTGTTATTACTGTGGTTTAAGGTTTACAAAAAGTATTAACATTCATCCTCAGAGTAGAAAAGTTGAGAACAGAAAGCTATGTTTTGTTACCTTGCAACCACCCGTGAAGAAACTTTATGTTATACAGCATAACAAAAATACAAAGAAACCCCAAATAAGGAAGAATTGCTTTCAGAACCAGGTGATTCTGTTGTCTTTGATGTTTAAACTAAAAAAAGAAAAAAATGTACAGCACAATTTTAAAATGAGATGTGATGACTTAGTAGATTGACATACAAAAGTGGAGAAGACAGGAACTGCATTAGAAGATAAGTGAAGTCTGAAAGGGAAATTCAATATTAAATTAATGAGTAACAGGAAGTCCTTGCATTAGTAAGTCTATAGCAGCATTAACTCAATGAAAAGCATTTGCTCTCCTGTCTCCCTTACTGAGACTCTGGAAAGCATTGGATATGGAACAAGGTAGAGATAATGTTTATTCAGAGGTCAAACCTCCCAACTCTCCTCTTCTTAGTGTGTAATCGTATTGGTCTCAATTGTTGGAAATTCTCAGGCCAGTAACAAATTAATCCTTTTTGGTCTTTATCTCAAGAACTATCATGAAATTCTAGGCAAGTTTCAAAATTCTGA